TGGCGGCTGTTACGCTGGCCGCGATAAGTTGTAGGTAGAGGTAAAACGTTTTTGAGCTTCTTTTTGGTTTTTTTTTGTTGCTATCATTGTTACCTTTGTATTGCACGACAGAGGATATGCAGAACGAATGCGGCAAGTGCAAATTCGTAAGTTAATGCTACACAGAGCCGGCATAACTGAATACATCTTATCCTGGCTTACGGAGAGCGGAAGGGCGTAAGCAACATTCCGCGATTTTTTGCATGATTCGATTCGTTTGCTTGTTAATTTAGTTGCACGTTAAGATTAATTAATATTAAACTCACTTAAAGTCTGTAGACTGCAGCAAACTCGGACACTGCTCTGCCGCCAACTTTACTGGCGCTCTTGACGGTTGTGGCTGTTGTAGCATACTCGATGTGTTGCACGCATAAAGACATCGCATAATCGATTTCGTAGCATCTAAGTGGGGACATCCTCTCGCCTCTTGGGGGCTCAGTCAGTACATTTGTGGCTGCAATCTTTCCTCAAGTGTACAGTGACTAAGCCTTGGCCTTTAAATGAGTACGCGCAAAAAATAGCATAACTCTTTACGTGTAATAATTTTATGTCTTTTGCTTTATTTTTTAATATTTCTTTTTTTTCGCTTTTACCACTCTTACAGATGTCGTCGCGGCTGGCGCGGTCCACTGTGCAACGAGTGTATGGTGTATCCTGGTTGCAAGCATGGTTCGTGTAATGGCAGCGCCTGGAAATGCGTGTGCGATACCAATTGGGGAGGCATACTCTGCGATCAAGGTGAGTNGCATGTACATTAGTGTGGTCCAAAAACAGCAAAGTTGGAATTGTAATGCTCTTACACGCTAGGATTGTTCAAAATTGGAAACTACTCCCCTATCTTTTATTCTGAAATAAAAAAATATGTAGAGGTCGCTCAAAGCGCTCAAAGTTCTCCATGTATTTTTATATGGGGAAAATAAAATTTTTCGTAGAAATGGTATAGAATTCTTGAAAANCGGTGAACGTTGCGAAATCGTGGAGCATCCGTGTGCGACGCAGCCATGCAAAAACGGTGGAACCTGCACGCTCAAAGTGAGTACAAAATGTAGATAACTTAAAGCGAACATACAAACTAACATACATAAATATGTCGTTATGCACGTAAATAAATATGCTAGTTGATGTGCTTGATTTGGATGTGCCTCATATGATTACTTGTTTGTATAGTTATTAAAGGATTATTATGATACTTCTTTATACATATGTATCTATGTATGCATGCACGTACATTAGTGTGCTGCAAAAATAGCAAAGTTGGAATTGTAATGCTCTTACCCGCTAGAATTGTTGAAAATTGGGAAAAACCTATTCCCCTATCTTTTATTCTGAAATCAAAAAATATGTAGAGGTCGCTCAAAGCGCTCAAAGTTTTCCATGTATTTTTATATGGGGAAAATAAAATTTTTCGTAGAAATGGTATAGAATTCTTGCAAATCAATATTTTTCGATCGGAAAACTCTGGTTCTCTTCAGGATACTTTCAGTAATAATACCCAATTGTTTATTTAACCATTTTTTAATACTAACGATCCCTTTGCATTTTTCGGAGTTTTTGTCGGTTTTTCGCGGACCTATAAATTATAGTTGCGATTTAAAAATGGTTAAATAAACTTTTGGGTATTACTCTTGGGAATCTCCTGTAGATAAACCGAGTTTTGTCGTAGAAAAATATTGATATTTAGCTATTCTATACCATTTCTACGAAAAGTGGTTTTCCCCCAATAAAACACTTGGGAAACTTTGAGCGCTTTTAGTGACCTCTAAAAATTTTTTGATTTCAAAATAAAAAAGTAGGGGTTTATTTTTTTTCGGTATAGAATAATCCAAGGAAGTGAGAGCTTTAAAATACCAACTTTACTTTCTTACATAAATTTTTGCACCACCCTAATGTAGACATTTACGTTGTTTGATGTTTAAACATGTTTCGTACTTTTACATAGAACTTTTTGTAGTATTTGGGCATAAATATTTATAGATTTTGCTTTGAAAGATTCTGCTAGGTATGCCCAAAGCCTCATACATATGTAATGGAATAATTCTAGAATCTTATTGATGGAGTTTTTCATTGCCGATTTAGCTCACACTGGTCTCTGCTTTATTCAGCTGCTGACATTATTAGGGGAGATTACGATAATTCCTCAAAGCCATGTATATTTAACAACAGTGGCCAGAAGGCGTTTTACCTTACTCTCGTTCACCGTTCAGACAACTTTTTTGCTTCCTTCTCCAAGTAAGCGCGACACGCCTTTTCTAGGAGTATCCTTGATCNGCAGATAAACAGGATTTTCTGTTAGAAAACTATTTATTTTTAACTCTTCTATACCATTTCTACAAAAAGTTGTTTTCCCCCATATAAAATTCATGGAAAACTTTAAGCGCTTTGAGCGACATCTAAATATTTTTTGGGGAACAGAATAATCCAAGGAAGTGAGAGCTTTAAAATACCAACTTTACTTTCTTACATAAATTTTTGCACCACCCTAATGTACATTTTAACGTTCTTTGGTGTTTAAACATGTTTCGTTCTTTTATATAGAATGTTTTGTAGTGTTTGGGTATAAATATTTATTGATTTTGCTTTGAAAGATTCTGCTAGGTATGCCCAAAGACTCATACATATGTAATGGAATAATTCTAGAATCTTATTGATGGAGTTTTTCATTGCCGATTTAGCTCACACTGGTCTCTGCTTTCTTCAGCTGCTGACATTATTAGTGGAGATTACGATAATTCTTCAAAGCCATGTATATTTAACAACAGTGGCCAGAAGGCGTTTTACCTTACTCTCGTTCACCGTTCAGATCACTTTTTTGATTCCTTCTCCAAGTAAGCGCGACACGCCTTTTCTAGGAGTATCCTTGATCTTACACGGCTCTTAGACGATGTTTTCGATTTTTACAGAGCCATATCGGAGCGACAAAAACATTTTACCTCTACAATGGACTGCGTTTTTTTTTTCATTCCTAAAGTGTACTTTGGACTAAATTCACATATTTGTCTTTACTTGAAACAGTCCCAGTCTGGGAAAAATTTGGTTGTTATGTATCTTATTTTCTGGTAGAATTTTCAGGCTGCATTCTGATTTGCTACCCTCTCAAGCACCTTTTCTGACTTTTTTATTAAGAGGCAATTCCATTCCATTCTCTTCTATCGGAATCGGTTGCTCGATTTTTGCTGGCGTTGCGATTGGGGTGAGGTTGTCTCAGCTGAAATTTGACTGCGGCAAAGTTGTCTAGACTCTACCATCCTGTACTCGTTCCTCTTCTGCAGTAGTGCGAAGGGGTCGTGAGATGAAATTTCTCTGTTCATTTGTGAACGCATATTCATATGGCGAATAATTTTTTATAGAAGCAAGATAAAAAGGTGAGTGCCAATTCCAAGATTATCCGTTACAGCTTTCACACACACACAGATTTCGGTGTGGAAAATTTTCAAATTCGTCGAAGCTNTGGAAAAAACAGTCTGGGAAAAATTTGGTTGTTATCTTATTTTGTGATAGAATTTTAAGGCTGCATTCTGATTTGCTACAATCTCGAGCACCTTTTATGACTTTGTTATTTTTTTATTAAGAGGCAACTCCACTCCATTCTCTTCTATCGGAATCGTTCGCTCGATTTTTGCTGGCGTTGCGATTGGGGTGAGGTTGGCTCAGTTGAACCTTGACTGCGGCAAAGTCGTCTACACTCTATCGCCAGTCATTTCTACGTACTCATTCTTCTTCTGAAGTAGTGCCAAGGGGTCGTGAGATGAAATTTCTCTGTTTATTTGTGAACGCATATTCATATGGTGAATAATTTTATTATAGAAGCAAGATAAAAAGGTGAGTGCCAATTCCTAGATTATCCGTTACAGCTTCTCAATCTTAATCTTTCCTAAAGCTGATTAAGCCAAGTTTTTAATAGCTTAGATTCGCATGTAAATCTTAGGTTCAGCCAGGTAGTGAGCCAAGCCCATCTTAGTCCTCCTAGCTTAGAGAAAATATTCAAGGAGCGTAACTCGCAGGATTTCGGTGGAAAATTTTCAAACTCGTCGAAGCTTCTTCTGCTTGGAGGTGCTATGAGGTGAAAGTTTGTTGAAGTATTCGAGTTATATGTACTTTCTTTTTTTGGGTTNAGTCTGGGAAAAATTTGGTTGTTATGTATCTTATTTTCTGGTAGAATTTTCAGGCTGCATTCTGATTTGCTACCCTCTCAAGCACCTTTTCTGACTTTTTTATTAAGAGGCAATTCCATTCCATTCTCTTCTATCGGAATCGGTTGCTCGATTTTTGCTGGCGTTGCGATTGGGGTGAGGTTGTCTCAGCTGAAATTTGACTGCGGCAAAGTTGTCTAGACTCTACCATCCTGTACTCGTTCCTCTTCTGCAGTAGTGCGAAGGGGTCGTGAGATGAAATTTCTCTGTTCATTTGTGAACGCATATTCATATGGCGAATAATTTTTTATAGAAGCAAGATAAAAAGGTGAGTGCCAATTCCAAGATTATCCGTTACAGCTTTCACACACACACAGATTTCGGTGTGGAAAATTTTCAAATTCGTCGAAGCTTCTTCTGCTTGGACAAAAATATGAGATGAAAGTTTGTTGAAGTATTCGAGTTATATGTACTTTCTTTTTTTGGGTTTATATTGAGCGCTCCAATCAGATAACACGCGAAGAGCTGCAGCAACTTAATCCTCTTCCTGTTCTGTTCTTCCTTCTGGCCTTTCCTCATGAAGGACCAGAATAGGGGAGAAAGAAGGCCTTTCAGATGTTCACGGAAGTGTTGCCTTAGAAAGAAGTATAACGCCCACGAAGTATTGTATTGATGCATCCGACAGTAGATAAATCTATACTTCTTTGAAGTAAAGAGATCAGTAGGCCCCTTGATTGAGTAATTACCTTAATCTCCTTAAAGTCGAGGACCCTTTCGATCTTACTAATCAGATACTGTAAGGCAGAATGTATCGATTTCAATTTGATATACGCAAACTGAATATTGCGAAAGAAAGTTGAGTATCTCAGTTTATCCTTAAAATGTTTCACCTCTTCGATGGTCTTCAAACTGAAGGTGGTTAAATTCATGGGTCTGTATGATTTAGGTAAGTCTGGGTGCCGATTTCCCAATTTAGGAATAAATAAGCCTGATACCTCTCTCCAAGTGTCAGTATGTATGTATTCCCAAGAATAACTAGCCGTAAATAAACAGACCAGGGGATCGATGTTGTTATCAATGCATCTCTTAATTAGTGCTGTATATAGAATACCATCACCGCCTTCAGCTTTGAAATGTTCAAACGACTACACTACCGTCAACTAAACCTTGTTCCTGTCAAAGATGGAGCCAGACCTGCTGAGATTTGTCACTCTAGTGAACCTATGTTCCGGAGAGACAGGAGTAGAGGGATCTAGTACGACCCATAAAAGCTAAGCAATTGATTTTTCTTAAATTGCCATGCCTTTCACTTAAATATTTTTTAACAAATTGAGTAAAAGGTCTGAAATTTTAAGAAAGGGGATTTACATATGGCTCATACGGTGTTGAGTTATTGAGTGAATAATCAGGGATCGATAACGCGTCGCAGTTTCGATTTAGTTCTGCACAAACAAAATACTATAATGTCAAGAGCGTTCCCACAAAAGAGCCAAAGAGCAATTTGAACAGGAACAAAATGCGAACAAATCTGTAGGCAATATAATTTGTTCGACTACTGTACATAAGTTGACTATGATTACTCGGCCGTACTCTCATAGTAGCACAATGCCAAAATGTTCAGGCAATGCAATTATCAATTATATTTTTTGTTGTTTGTGTGAAATATTTTATTTTTATCAATATTTTTCTTTTAATCAACACATGTTGAAATAAAATTTAAACTAAAAAAAATCATGCCAGAACAACCGCCTCCCAAAAAAAATCCTGTCTACGACCCTTATGGCCACCACACAAGTATTGCAGTAGTATAGGCCTGACTACAGAAGTGTAAAGCCAATATGTAATACGGGGTGTTAATCCCCATAGGATTTCGAACGCTTGTTTGCATAAGCTTCAATCTAATTTGAGTCCTAGATATTCAACATTCTCCTTCAAATTGATCTCCCAACCTTTGAAAATTAGCGGGGAGACTGTTGATGGTGTGGCACATTTTTTCCATATAAAAAAATTATCAAACATTTTATATGGAGAAAATGAGCGACACCACCAACATAAAAAAATTGCCAACAATCAATGGTAAATCCTAGCTAACTCAAACCTGCACATTGTTATACTTAAATTGAATGGCCTAAAAAATTGCATATTCCACTTTTTTCTAGAGAGCGTAATTAAAAAAGTGCAATATTTGAATGAAATTTTGCAGAATTTTCTTTAATTTTGCACAAGGTTTGGAACTCTGATTTTTGGGTTTTTGTTGTAGAATTAACCATATTTTTATAAAAAATTATCGAAAAATAAAATATTTAAAAAATTGTTGCCCGTATTCATTTAATAGCAGCAGCTGCAGCTACAAAAATTTTGTTAATTTTTTTTTCTATTTATTTTCAATTTCTGTCTGTATAAACAAATTTAGATATAAATTTCAAATCTTTTTCGTTTTTATATTGGCACAAGGTACTGGCTCATAGCTTGGATCATATATGAATCCTAAACGATTCATATAAGAGTAAAAAAATTTTTGTTTTTGATGCTCATATTTCTTACCTATCTAGGACTCCTGAACGTTCAGAATATGTTTGCGGAGTATGTAAGGAAAATAAATATTTCTTTGAGAATTATATTTGAACGTTACGCTTGCATTCCAAAGAAATTACTAAAATTTTCTGAAAATTTAGNCACATGTTGAAATAAAATTTAAACTAAAAAAAATCATGCCAGAACAACCGCCTCCCAAAAAAAATCCTGTCTACGACCCTTATGGCCACCACACAAGTATTGCAGTAGTATAGGCCTGACTACAGAAGTGTAAAGCCAATATGTAATACGGGGTGTTAATCCCCATAGGATTTCGAACGCTTGTTTGCATAAGCTTCAATCTAATTTGAGTCCTAGATATTCAACATTCTCCTTCAAATTGATCTCCCAACCTTTGAAAATTAGCGGGGAGACTGTTGATGGTGTGGCACATTTTTTCCATATAAAAAAATTATCAAACATTTTATATGGAGAAAATGAGCGACACCACCAACATAAAAAAATTGCCAACAATCAATGGTAAATCCTAGCTAACTCAAACCTGCACATTGTTATACTTAAATTGAATGGCCTAAAAAATTGCATATTCCACTTTTTTCTAGAGAGCGTAATTAAAAAAGTGCAATATTTGAATGAAATTTTGCAGAATTTTCTTTAATTTTGCACAAGGTTTGGAACTCTGATTTTTGGGTTTTTGTTGTAGAATTAACCATATTTTTATAAAAAATTATCGAAAAATAAAATATTTAAAAAATTGTTGCCCGTATTCATTTAATAGCAGCAGCTGCAGCTACAAAAATTTTGTTAATTTTTTTTTCTATTTATTTTCAATTTCTGTCTGTATAAACAAATTTAGATATAAATTTCAAATCTTTTTCGTTTTTATATTGGCACAAGGTACTGGCTCATAGCTTGGATCATATATGAATCCTAAACGATTCATATAAGAGTAAAAAAATTTTTGTTTTTGATGCTCATATTTCTTACCTATCTAGGACTCCTGAACGTTCAGAATATGTTTGCGGGGTATGTAAGGAAAATAAATATTTCTATGAGAATTATATTTGAACGTTACGCTTGCATTCCAAAGAAATTACTAAAATTTTCTGAAAATTTAGTCTAAGCAAGTCCCCTTCGACTCATGTGCCGGTACGTGTGATCAATTGTCACAGTAGAAAAAAAATCGCTAACGGTAAGAAAGGTTTATGCAAAAATTCAGCTTTTCCTATCTTTTTCTTAGGGTAATATCTCTATAACCCTTACTATTGGTCAAAGAATGCCATAATGTACGACGCTGATATATGTTTGTATGTATGTGTCATAGTAATATTTATTTCTAAGCTTTCAAGTTTATAAGAATTTACTTCATGCACTTTACTCAATTGACCAGTTCTCAATAAAACCATTTTACATTCTTTTCATCTTTTTATACCATTTTATCGTTTTTAATAATTTTCTTTTCGCTGCCATTTCATGCTGCGCAATTTCATGGCTGAACTTTATTATGAAACAACAAAATTATGCGTCCCCTCTGTAATGCAATACACATCACACATCTGTTAAATTCACAACAATACAAACCACAACCACCAACAAACAACCGACCATCGTCCAATGAATCGTACAGGAATCAACACTACCTAATGTAACAACGTTGCCGACATATCGTTCGATGCGCGGCATGAGCTCAGCCATGGGTAAACCAGTTAGCCGACGCGATTCATTGCTAGGACTGGCAGGATTAAGCAGCACTGCGACGGCAACAACAACACCAACTGGTACAGGTGGCACGATGGACGGCCCAAGTGGCAGTGCGGGTGATGGCCGCGGAAATAGCACGAGCGCCGTGAATGCACTTGCTGCGGCGGCTAAATTGCTACCTAGCGGTGGTGGAGGGGTTGCTAATCCAGCGCTAGCCACATCCATGTTAATGCAACTACAACAGTATCACAACAGCGGCAGTGGTGGCATTGGCAGCGGTACTGGCACGAGCAATCTACTGCATTCGCATCATTCGATAGGCCATCGACTGCAACAGATACCACCAATTGGCGAATACACTTGTGCCTGTGCGCCTGGCTGGACGGGACCATCATGTGAAATCAGTAAGTACGAGTATGTATGTATATGTTAGCTGAACGGGTTGCCACGATCGCGATCTAGCCACTTTATTGGCGGCCAAGAGTTTGGAGCGTGCGCTTATCCAACATTGCATTGATTTATGTTTCATATATTTATTCGTGTGGTCGCGTTTTTGTTGTTGAAATGCTTTTTTATATTTATTTTTGCTTTTTCACTAAAGCAAGTTATTTTCCTCGGATTAAATTGCATCTATTAGTCGCATTGACTTGAACGATCGAACTAGTGAGCGAGCGTTCGAGCAGGTAAGCTGCGGCTTTGGGGCTGGTAAGTGAAAAAAAATATACAGAAAAATTTAGCACAAGAAAATGTAGACAGAGCGCTGTCTGTGGTTTAAAATTAAATTAATGCAGAAAAGTGGAATCAAATGAAAAGCGCGTAATTGCCTCCGAGCCAGCACATTCTGCAGTAAAAGCAGTGCAATGTACGTGATGCCTAAAAGCAGTGTCTCGAATATTTGAAGCATGTGCGTCGCTTTAATTATGCTAAATTCGTACGATTTTGTAAGGCCTTTGCTTGTGTTAACTGTCTCGTTTGCACATGTTTTTATTATGTACTAGCATTCAAAAACTTTTGAATTGTTAATAACTTGCAATTACGCGCGTGTTTATGCTAAACTGCCAAGCGCTTTGCTTTCCTTTCACTCTCTCAGCCAGGCTTTCGTGTCTTGTACGTAATCGCCTCTAAACTGCAATGTTGCATGGCCCATCAACAACAACAACAATGTATTTTTTTACAGTTCGAATAACACCTGCTAGCATAACTAATCACATACTAATGGCTTGCGATGATTTCATTTCTCTCGTTATTTGCAAACGAAATTTTACTACCTTTTCTCAGCCGAACAAAAGACTTAAGCAACAAACTTGCATTACCTCCGCGCCATATTGGGCATTTATACTTCGTGTCGCAAGTGAATGTAGTCTAAAATTTCAGATAATGTGTGGATTAAAGTAAGGAGCTGCATTAAGATCAGAAATTAAATGCACTCTATGCATGCATTTCGAATGCAAACAGGTGTTACTTATAGCTTGTGCACTTAAATGCTTTAAAGCACACATACAATCGACGCGTAAACGCATAAACAGTGACATGCGTACTGCCACGTATGACTAATTGTCCATTTAATGTACGAGTGCAAGATGGTTCAGGCCGAATGCAAGCTAACTGTGTGACAATCGCACTTTAGCCTTTATCTTACCGCCGTTTTAGTGAGGCTAACTGCAAACAAACTTTGGGTTTATTTTATACATTCTACATACTAAATAGAAGACTTGCTGTCCATTGTTCCAAGGAAATGCATCACTGGCATTGCTGAAGATGCCACAAGCATGAAGTATGTTGACAAACATTGCGTGGAAATAGCAATGGCATAACAACGTTGGCAGCATCAAGATAAAACCGAACAAATTTTGTTCGTTTAAGATTTTTGTCGCATTGCAGAGTAAGAGCTAAAGCGATGCTTAAAAGCTCATATGTATATACGTATGCACATACTTTGAGGTGTGATGTATTGCATGCATTGCCATTAGTTGAATGGAAGTATTCGTTATGAATAATTAATGAGACACTTTTGAGCTTACACGCACAGAAATTTTCTGCTGAATGAAGTGCCATGTTTTTGCGCGAGATACTACACATTTTGGAACTAAAAAAAAAAAAATGTTGAAGCAAGTTTGTAACACACAATTTTTTGTCATGTTTTTTTTTTTTTTAAGTTTACACAAGAAGATCTACAAAAAGAAAGTTACACATTATCATATGTCTACTTACAAGCAGCTATGCTACAGCTAATGCAGCTGACGTTACAATCATCATCTGTGGCTCTCATGTCTCTAGGAAATCAGACGCAGAAGCCCACAGGCGGCTGGGGAGCGGAAGTGTGACCGAGCTTAAGCGAAGTCAAAACTGACCTGGTACTATTTAATTATTAGGAAATACAACATTCCATTTCAGCAGACTTAAATTAGCCATCCTACAACCAAGGCCAATCATACGGGACAGCAAATTTTGTACAAACATTAGACATTTCGCCTACCCTTTCAGATTAGCTATTCCCGGCTATTATTAGGCCAATACTATTCTACGGGATATTAGTATGGTGGCCAGGGGTGAAAAAAATACTTGATTTAAAAGACTAGAGGGCGTTTATTATCACTTAGTGATCATCATAACGTACAGCACCGACAGCGGCGCTCCACACAATATTACACATACCACCCACATAGATAGATACTGCAACTACCGCGACTTCAGGACCTATGGCCACAGTACAAACTGAGTTTAGAGGAAGATAAAAAATATAGGAATTGCAACTATCACAAGAAATGGAAGGTAAAGACGCGCACTACTTGTGAAAGCTCAGCTACTACAATACTACAATGCGAAAGGCGATGGTAATATTTTGGAACATACCTCAGATTCGTGAGCGAAAATTCACTGGGTCGAGAATGTATTTGGCAATGTTAAGGACCTTCTTATTGTATTTGTGGTAATGTGTGGTATTTGTTTATTAGCTGGTGACTTATGCAGGGCACGCAGGTGTGCAGAAATCGAGTCATCGCGGGTTCAGTTCCTATGATGTGACGCGTAATATGCGGAGTGCCTAAGATATTTTTCTATTTTAAAAAGAAAACATCTCAATGGAGAAAGTAATTTTTTATACTGCACACCCGGCGAACTTCGTCCTGCCCAAAATCATTTTTTTTTTTTTTGTTTATTGAAACATTTAGGTCCGACATTTTCACCAACAATTCACGTTCCCGACTTCCAATGGCACATATATATGCTAAGATGATGGTGCCGTAGGGAGGTTTTTAAAATTTTCCAATGACCTGGCATTTCATAGTACGGTTGATCGCACAACGAAATAAATTTGAAAACATTTTTCCTCTTCACGCTTTGGCTTCAACAATGATTCGGTTCGATGGTGAATCTTTCGTTGAATCTGTATAGTATGGTTGGTGGCAATGTCAAAATAGATTAGTATCGCAGAAATCCTGCATACATATACTTATTTCAGACTAAATAACTAAAATGTCTTATCAAAGAGGTAACTTGAGATTGGCCACTGGATAAATAAATCCGAGTGATACTTTAATGCATAGTAATATTGGCACACATCCATTTGTCCAATCAGAATACACGCGAGTTCAACATACTCTGTGCTGCAGCAGGCCGACGAAATCGGACATTCAATGCACTTATTCTCAATTGACGATTTTTAGTAATAACTCAACTCCAGCGCCCTATTGCCCTCACCGTCTCGAATTCAAGCTAAATTGGATCATAAATACCAATTTTAGTAACAGCTTGACTCAAGAACCACACTCAAAAAATTCTGCTAAAATCAGTTTGGTTATTTAGGAGGAGCTCACTCAAAAACACACGTACAGAAGAGTTATAAATAAATTCATACTGAGATATGTAAACGTATACGTACGTTTGGAAGGCACCACGTCCCTTTTTCAAAAAGCTCCAATTTTTCTCCAAGTGAATTGAACTGATTTCATATACATATCTCAATACCAAGTTCCAGTACTCTACTATGAATAGTTCCAGAGATATGTAGTACGAAAAATCCAGTTTATATGGGTGTTGCCACGCCCCCTCGGCCAATAACTACCAGATATATTTTACGACCTATTCTCATACCTACCAAATGTACATCAAAAATTTCAACAAAGCGATCGAGCTGTTTCGAGGAAGTGCGACCACAAACACCGCGAGACCATAATTTTATAGAAGAAGTTTATTACAGAAACATCTATATTGAGTACTAGTTGGATTTAATGCAATTTTATGGAAAGGAATTTCAATCACAGAATCATCATTTTTTTTTCCTCGTGACTATGTAGATGCGCGTACTTTTGCAACACTCTCATGAAAATTCCAATTCTAACCAAACCTGGAACTCTTTTAAATTTGTTTAGAAGCCACTCAACTCCCTGGTGAATAACAACCTAGCTAGCTGTGCTTACAAATATGCCGGCGAAAAATACAAACATTACCTTCATTGAATACTTTGATGAAATTAGAGGGGCTTAAAGAAATTCGGGAACTCACCTCAGCAGAGAAATAAAACTCTTTATAGAGAGAACTGGTAACAGCAGTCATTAATGATATGCACGACTATAATGAATCTTGAACTTGCTAGCCGAGTTTAATTTGCCTGGCTGCTTACTACTGAGCGCAAACTGAAGCATCCATACCCAGATTGGTATAAGAAGGCCCCGCCTATTTGATTAGAATAAAATATGGTGATTCATATCTTCATCCGCTACCTTCAGTGTTCTGCAGCAGATGGTATCTACCCAGCTCATCTTCAAAAAATACTTCCACATCAGCTGCCTTTTCTAATCTTATCATTCGAGGCATGTTACGAGTGGCGATCCCTGCCTCTACAATTACAATAAGCTGTGATCAGATACATCTCAAAGATACAGAGGAAACTAACAGACGCACTATAGTCATACCGACCCTTCAGCTGCGCTACAAAAAATTACCCTCATCAGTCGGGTGTTCTAAGCCGCCCACAGTATTTCTGCCAGAAACTAGAAGGTACTGTAGCATCAGATCCGAATTAGCAACATGTATCATCGTAATCTATACCCTGCCCACCTGA